TACACACACACACATACAAATAGACATAAGTGCCCATATGCGCGCACACACACACACACACACACACACACACACCCCTCTGCTTTACTGCTGCAGTGTTGTTCATCAGAGCTGTTTTCTGACAACTGTAGAACTGAATAATGATGTGTGTGTGTGTGTGTGTGTGTGTGTGTGTGTGTGTGTGTGTGTGTGTGTGTGAGTGTCGTACCGTCCCTCTCCATCTTTACAGTAGGGGCATGTGCAGGCCTCTCTGCGTGTGCGTCTGCTGCTGGCTGTGTTCGGGCTGCTCTCTGCATTCTCCTCCAGCACTGCGCTGTCCTCCAGAGCGTCTGCAGCCGCTTCACCTGCGCATGTGCACACACACACACACACACACACACACACACACACACACACACACACAGGTTTAATTGTCCTCTATTATACAGCTCAGCTGTGTGACAGACAGCTTTTGGCAGTGGGTTTGTTCTGGATGATTTCGTAACTCAAATCCTCGTTAATGTTATGAACATTAGCAGCTTTTAAACGTGTAATTAATGTTTAGTTTGCAGATCTACTGAGATGCTGTTATTTGGTGGACAGAGCGAGTGTCTCGTGTAGCAGATCTGCTGAAGACAGACAGGATCGCTCTACACACTGCACTGTAGATGAAGCAGATCGGCTCATGCTGGGCTGCAGACGTGTGTATTTCTGATTCATTATTGTTATTATGAGTGATTACGGCTGATTATTCCTCCATACTCATATTCATATATTATGAGGGTTTGATTGAGAAGTGCCGTGATGAGCAGATTCCCTCACACACACACATCAGCACATTACAGGTGAGGCTCAACACTCCGGCGCAGGTGTGTGTTAATGTCATTATTCAGCGGACCGGCCCTCTGCTCAGGTGTTTCCCGCAGTGTGTGTTCACTGACAGATCCTGAGCTGAAGGTCGGTGTGTGTTCTGTTATCTGCGCACTGACGTTTCTCTGCATCTGAAACTCCGTCCTCCCTCCACCCTGAACACCTCTGTCTCCATCTCTGTGTGTCCAGATGAGCGTCTCTCAGGGCTCCACACTGCTCAGCTCTACTCAACTACAGCAGCGGACGCGCCGCACGGCACCGTGACATGGCGAGCACATGACAATTGGAGGTATCGCACACCAGAAGCGCACATTCACATGATGTTTCAAATAAAGTTTTCAGATGTATTCAGCAGAGTATGAACAGTGTCCTGAGTCAGAGCGCCGCGGACAGCCACAGACCTGCTGCAGCACCAGTGTGTGTATCCTGATAGAAACCTGAATTCTGAAATGCACAGCGCTGCATGGTGTGACACTGTGCGTCACTTCTGGTGTGTAACCTGCTTTAGGCAGCGATGATGATGATGATGATGATGATCTTCTGTTCATTAGCACTGATGAAAGACCCGCAGCAGCTGAAACTCAAGCCCTGACTCAGACACATCCATGAAGGACTCGACACCATCAGTCATGAACATTTGACATTACATTTAGATCCACTACACACATTCTAGACTGACCTCGCCTGCACTTACAGTCAAAACATGTGTGTGTGTGTGTGTGTGTGTGTGTGCGCCGTGTGTGTGTGTTCCTCAGTCTGCGTTTAAATCTTACTCAAATTAAAACAGATCTACAATAAACCCTAATTAGACGAATACTGTAATCAACATACGGAGCATTTCTTCATCGTCATCATCATCATCATCATCATCATCATCATCATGTAAAATCTGGCATCCAGTCTCCGTCTATATATGGAAGTGTGTGGAAGGCAATCACAGTCACACACACACACACACACACACACACACACACACACACACACATATCTAGACCTTTGGGGATCTATCATGTGTGTAAACAGTACCCCCGGACTGACCTGGTGCGCTGGCGATGGTGACGGGCATCTGTATCGGCTGCATCTGCAGGCCGCCGCTGCCCAGTGTGTTGAGGTTGATGGTCTGCAGGCCGGAGAGCTGCACGGGCCCCGAGGCCCCAGTGGGAGCCAGTGTGATCTGGGCACCGGGGCTCTGCAGCTGCAGCGTCTGCCAGCTCACCTGCCCGTCGGCGCCCAGCGTGCGGATCAGGATTGGGCTGCCGCTGGCGATGGTCTGGATCTGCACGTTCTGCACGCCGTCCTGAGAGAGGGTCTGTGTGGTGAAGACGGGCCCCGGGGCCGACACCGTGCCCTGCTGAACCCCCTGCAGGAGCATCTGCGGCTGCCCCTTCTGCCCGTCTGAGGCGGCGGGCGCTCTGCTCTGGGCGAGGGTGGCGATGCCCACTGCTGCTGTTGCCCGTGTGCTGGAGGCGGTGCTGCAGAACTCAGGGCCCTGTGGCGGAGCGGCTACCGCAGTGTGTGTGTCTCCGCCTACGGGCCCGGGCCCCACCGGCAGCAGTGTGATGTTGGCGTTCAGCGGCACGTTGGCCAGGAACTGCGTCTGGTTGGGCAGCACGGCGCTCAGGTTCTGCAGAGGAATGGCCTGCTGGAAGAGGCCCGGGACCGTCAGGATGTTCCCGCTGCCTGCTGCCCGGAGCTGCTGCCCGCCGGGGGACGACACCAACAGCTGCCCAGACATGTCCTGCGCTGCCTGGAGCTGCAGCTGCTGCCCGTCCACCGTCTGGAACTGCGGGATCACCTGGTACTGGATGTTGGGCATGACGCCGGGCAGGGCAGTGAGCAGCTGCTGGCTCTGTGCGGGCATCAGGAACTGCGGCTGTATGGTGGCGGTGGCGGCTCTGCTCCGCTCCTCTGAGGGCGCTGTGGGCACTGCGGCAGCTGCACTGGTGGGCGTCTGTGTGCCTGCAGGGCTGATGTGCCAGCCATTGGTGCCCTGCGGGAGCTCCAGCTGAGAGTCCTGGGTCTGAGGCTCCGCCGCACCGTTCTCATCGATGCGACTGCACGTAGCGGCTAACAGTGCTAGCGGTGATGGCTGCTGCGAGTCCTGCAGAGAGAAACAGCCTCGTGAGACACTCTGACACACACATGCGCACGCACACGCGCGCGCACACACACACACACACACACACACACACACACACACAC